ACGCCCCTCAGAAGAGGTGGACACCTCGCTGTCCACTTGCTCCTGAACCATTTGGCGCGCATCCATCTTTCTCCACCACTGTACATCTTGCTTTCAAACAGACAGCACCACTCAAGAATTGATCACCCAGCTCCCATCTTTTCACCTGTAAACAGTATGCAACTATAAAGGTGTTACATCTGTCTGATGTTACTATCTCTAGGCACATGTTGATTTTGTCCAAATTGGAAATGTGCAACGTGTGACATTTAATCTTGTGATGTAAATGCCTCTTAGACGAGTCAATGGATATTTTTCTAAGTGCAAAAATAAAACTAGCATGTAAACACCAGGAGTTAGGAAAATCCTGTACATCCCTCTTAGCAAGGTGTGTGACCCGCAAAACGGCTCGTCACAGTTGTCCCTGTTTCGGTCTGTTAGAGCGCAGAGTTGAGTTGAGGGACAAACCACTGCGAGAGCTCTTACACTGAGGGCTTCTCTCATTGTCTCAGTGGTAGAGAGCACAGATGAGAGCCGTGGCTACAGACTGCTGTGCAGACAGGAGTCCAGACGGCATCGTCCTCTTGGATGATGCGTGGTTGTGTAGCTCTGGAAAACACTTGTCCGTCCTCTGGAGTGGACCACTGCCGGAGGCTGCAGCGCCTGTGTGCAGAGAAAAAATACAGAAAAAAAAAATAAAAGGCTGTGATTGCAGTATTTGATGGAAGTCAAACATTTAAACGAGCCTGGAGAAAAACGGTGGTTTGAATTGGCACAAATAGTTTATTGTGTGACGCTGACAGCTATTCATGGAGCTGTGACTGGTTATTGAGATGCCAGTACTCTGAGGCATATTTAAATCACTGGTCGACGCCTCCTCGACACAGGCTTGTTGCTAACGAGTTAATCTGAGTTGTACTTTCTAATAGCCCTCTGAAGAGTTGTAGCAATGCATTGTTTTCCCATAGTTCACAGATGATATGCATTTTTGACAAAAAAAAGAACAAAAAAAACTACTATGCCTGTGGTTTTCTCTTATTCACAATGTAGCAACTTCTAACCAACTTCTCTTCCAAAATCAGCCTAGTTTGTGTTGTGCCCTGTCGTTAATATTTACTGATCTTTAATTAGCAGCACTTCCTATAGGTAACAAAACATGGAACCTGTTCTAAGCTTAAATCTCTGGCTTCATGGTTACATGTGTGTGCAGCATCGATCTCCGTGCTTTTAACCATAAAGCAATAATGATTTAAGTGCTTGTGACGCGAGGTAACCTTTGTGGCAATAAAGCCAGGGCTTAGTGATTACGGTTTTGCTATAAGTGCTCCACTGACACCCAACAAAATCCGTCTCTGCTGTACAAAAAGGCTGCTCATCTGTGTTGCCCCCCCCC